ACATCTGGTCCTGACAAGCTGAGCTCAGAGAATTTCACATGTTTTAAACTTATATTCAATAAACATTAAATAATTTTTTTCTGTGTCAGAAGCAAGTTGCTTCTGGTCTGAGAGAATTGCCCATCTGCAAGGACACTGCCCAGGGGAAGCTCGGATGTTACCATCCTGTCGGAGGCTTCTCTCATGTCCCCGCATGGGAAGCTACCTAAAGGAATCCCACACCTTGTGTGACTGTGGAGCAGAACAGAAAACTCTGCATCTGTATGCTTGTCCACTATGCCCTGCCTCATGTACAGAGGAAGCATTGTTGGAGGCTACAGACAATGCCATTGCTATTGCCCGTTTTTGGTCAAAAGATATTTAGCCGTCTGCGCTCCTCTATTTTTATCAGTTTTATACTAATTTATGCAATGCTTTTGATACGAAATAATAATAATGGGAAGCTGGAGCTGACAGATAGGAGCTCACCCCATACGCAGATTTGAACCGCCGACCTTTAGGTCAGCAGTTCAGCTGTCACAAGGGTTGAACCCATTTCGCCATTACAGCTCCCATGAAATTAAATAAGACTGAGGAATAAAACTTCCTGCATCCAGTGATGCTAAATTTCAAATCTTTCCAAATTTTATCTTTAATTATTTTATTTGTAAAGGATATATATATATATTCTTAATCCTTGTGGATTAATATTAAGAAATAATGTTGATGATAAAGGTTTCTATGTAGAACATTTTTTTTTTCATTTTATCCCCCAACCCAGGTGCATTAGACTAGGTTTCAGAGGAAGGAACTGGTAGAACCACCTCTGTGTATTCCTTGCTTAAGAAAACTCTATGAAAAAGGGGGTTTGTCATGAATTGATAGACAACTTGAAGGTACACAATGAAACCATTATAATGAGTAATTTTGGGGTGAGGATTTCAGAATAAAGTATTGATTAAACAATATGAGATAACTGGGTTAGGGAGAACTTGCTTCAAACCCGATCTCCCTGGCCCTCTGCTTCTGTGATGTCTTGTTAGGTTCAAGGCATGTTAAGAAGCTTTCCTAAGAAAGAGTTCTTGGCTGCAGCCCTGAAGCATCCTAGAGGGACCTGGTTGTGTCTCTCTTGTGGGACCTGTTGCTGAGAGACAACCTCTGAAGGCCAAACGGGCCTCTTCATCATACAGGAACGGAAGCAGGTGAGGCAGAAGAAGGAGACAGATGTTGTTAAGTGTTGTGAAAAAACAGTGTTAGGGCTGGCATGTTTGACAATTAGATTGTTATATAAAATAGGTCATAGAGGGTTGTACCTTTGGATTAAGGTTTCACCTTTTGTGTGTCTATCTATCATGGAATTTACAAAAACTGAAATGCCATGCTTATTCCTTGACTTCAGAACAGAGTCAGCATGTACTCCATATTCTGAATTGTTCACATTATATTCGGGGAAAATATAGCTAATGTAAATTGAAATATAATAGAGATTATCAGAATAACTGCTTTACTACCGAATCTAGAATTTATTTAGGCAAGGAAGAAAGATCAACAGCAGCATCAGTCATAGTGTTAGTGATGGCGTGGTTAAGAGTTTAAATGAGGGGTCCTCAAACTTTTTAAGCAGAGGGCCAGATCATGGTCCATCAGACTGTTGGAGGGTGGATGGACTACAGTTTGAAAGTAACATGCATGCGCATTGTACATATTTTATTTGTAGTGGAAAAAATCCATAAAAGAACAATACAATATTTAAAATATTTAAACACTTAAGGTAAAGGTTTCCCCTGACATTAAGTCTAGTTGTATCTGACTCTGGGGGTTGATGCTCATCTCCATTTCTAAGCCAAAGAGTCAGCATTGTCCATAGACACCTTCAAGGTCATGTGGCCAGCATGACTGTATGGAGTGCCATTACCTTCCTGCAGAAGCAGTACCTATTAATCTACTCACATTTGCATGTTTTCAAACTGCAAGGTTGGCAGAAGCTAGGCCTAACAGCAGGAGCTCACACGCTCCCCAGATTCATACTGCCAACGTTTCAGTCAGCAAGTTCGGCAGCTCAATGGTTTAACATGTTGCGCTACCAGGAGCCTCTATTTAAGCACTTAAATAGCATAAACTTACCAGTGTTTCAATGGGAAGTGTGGGCCTGCTTTTAGTTAATGAGATAGTCAAGTTAATTACAATTGTTATTGTTGTGTGCTTCAAGTCCTTTCAGATTCAGGGTAACTATAAGTCTAAAGCTTACAACAGGGGCTGGGAAAATGACCTTCGAGGGCTGCATCTGACCCACGGGCCTTAGTTTGAAGACCCCTGGAGATAAAATGGAGATTTAATGGTGTATTAATACCTGGGCAGTAGTTCTGGGAGGTGTACTGTACTGGTACACTGAAGTGAATGAGGGATTTGCAACATAAGGGCACACCTGCTCAACCTATTGTGCGTGTGTCCTCATTGGAGTATATGTGAGTGTGCAGGTCCAGAGTGAAGGACCTTCTCAGCTGTGCAGTGTCAACAGCAACACAATGGAACGGTGATTTTTGCAGGCATTTGTACCTTGTTCTTGTTTTCTATGTGTATTTGAGAGGCCTTTTGAAAAGCATCCCTGCTTAAGTTCTTTACTCAGGCTCAGTTAATCTCCAATTGGATGTTCCCTTTGAAATTTATTTCTATTATGTATCAATGTGGGGAGGTATTTGATAATACTGGGGCCCTTTAGTCACAATGGGCTTTTCAGCCAAGTTAATTTTTTTGCTTTTAGTAGAGCAAAATAATATGTATTGCTCATGGAGTGGGCATATACCTTCATATATTCCAAGACCACTTTAGACAGAGTATTCCCTGCATGTTAACCTGGAATATCAGTAGGTAAAACGGTGTTGTAACATCTTAAAGACTAAGGGGGCATCTACACTGTGGAATGAATGCAGTTTGAGCCCATTTTAACTGCCTTGGCTCAATGCTATGGAATCATGGGATTTCCAGCTTTACAAGCTCTTTAGCCTTCTCTGCAAAAGAGTCCTAATGCCTCACCAAACTAAAACTTCCATGATTTCATAGCACTGAGAGATGGCAGCAAAAGTTGGGTCAAATTTGACAGTGTAGATGCACCCTGAGAGAAAGAAGGTGGTTTAGAGATGGTGCTTCTAACACTGCAGAATGAATGCAGCTTGACAGCACTGCTGTGCTCAATGCTGTGAAATACTGTGGGTTATAGTTTTACAAGGTCTTTTGCATTCTCTGCCAAAAGAGTGGTGGTGCCTCACCAAACTCCAGCTCCCAGGACTCCCTAGCATTGAGCCATGGAAGCTGAAGCAGTGTTAAGCTGCCTTCATTCTAGAGCAGGCCTGGGCCAACTTGGGCCCTCCCTCCAGGTGTTTTAGACTTCAACTCCCACCATTCCTAACAGCCTCAGGCCCCTTCCTTTTTCCCCTTAAGCGTAACAGGTAAATATGGAACTATGGAACAACTAGACGATGCGACTGGAAAATGATTTTAGTATGGAGATGCTGATGACTTTATGTTTTTATTGATTTTGTATTGGGTTTTTAAAAATAATATATGCTAAATGTTTTAATTGTATTTTATGCCTGTTGGGGCATCCAATTGTTGCTGACTGTAAACCACCTTGAGTTGCCTTCAGGCTGAGAAAGGCAGTATACAAATACTGTAAATCTATATAAATAAAAATGTAATGTTTGTTTGTGGGATTAACATAACTCAAAAACTACTGGACGAATTGACACCAAATTTGGACACTATACCCCTAACAGACTAATGAGTGACCATCACTCATAAAACCCCCTAAAAACATCAGAAAGGACTTAAAAACCCAAACAATCTAAATGACGAAAAGCTAAATCACGGTACAGAAAAGAGGGAAAGGAAGAGGAGAAAGAAAGAAAGAAAGAAAGAAAGAAAGAAAGAAAGAAGGAAGGAAGGAAGCATGGAAGCAAAGCGCGAAGGAAGGAAGGAAAGAGGCAGAGAAGGAAGGAAGAGAGAAAGTGGAAGGAAAAGAAAAAGGGGAAAGAAGGAAAGAGGCAGAGAAGAAAGAAAGTGGAAGGAAAAGAAAAAGGGGAAAGAAGGAAAGAGGCAGAGAAGGAAGGAAGAGAGAAAGTGAAAGGAAAAGGGGAAAGAAGGAAAGAGGTAGAGGAGGAAGGAAGGAGAGAAGGAGCGAAGGAAGAAGGGAAAGGAGAGGAAGAGGGAAAGAAGGTTGTCCAAAGCAATGCGTGGCGAGCACAACTAGTAAAATAAACCAATGAAAGACCTGCACTGGAGTGTAGAATGAGTGCAGTTTGGAGCCACTTCCAAGGCTGCCCTCCTGCGCCTTGGCCCTAGAAAGCCTCTTTCCCTTCTGCTCAGGCAGCCAATCGGGCGCCCTCGGGGCCACCCTCCCTTCCCTGCTGTTCCCTCCAACTTTCCTCTCGCTCTACAGGTGGCTTGTTCCTTTAAGGGAGAGCCTTCAGGGTGGGTTTTTTAGTAGCCATGGCAACTCCTAAATTTGAGGCGAAGATGCAGAGAGAGGCGCCAAGTGGGAGGGAGGGGAGGGAGGGCTGGGGCTGGAGGCTGGGGCCGCTGCCCTCGCGCGCCCCCTGCAGGCCAAGGCGGGCCAGTGGCAACGCGGAGCAACTTTGGGCTCGGAGTGGGGAGGAGGAGGAAGAAGAAGGGGAGGAAGTAGAGGAGAAAGAAGAGGAGGAGAAGAGGAGGAAGAAGAGAAGAAAGAGGAGGAGGAAAAAAAGGAGGGAGAAGAGGAGGAAGGAGAAGAGGAAGAGGAGGACGCAGCCTGGGACCCGCCGTCGGACTTGCGGAAGGAAGGGCGGTCGAGGATGAGGAGCTCCTGTGCGGCTGCTTCTAGATCGGGATGCTCAGAAGAAGAAGAGGAGGAAGGGGAGGAAGAAAGACTCCCGAAGCAGCCCATCACCCGGGATGGGGGCCGCCCCTAAACAAGAGCCGGGCGTGCTGGAGGGCTTCCCTCCCCCGGGCCACTTGCTTCTCCATCCTCACCTTCTTGTCCTCCGTCCTCCGTGGTTTCCTGGCCCCACCGACGGAGGGGACGCTCTTTGGCTCCCCCTGAGCCCGGTCTCCCCGCCCCACTCCCAGCCACCGTTCGTGGGAGTGGGGGCTGTTCCCGCGTGGGCCGCCTTGCCCTCTCTCTTCCCCTCCTGCAGGTCTAAGGGGACTTTTCTTCCCTCCCGGGCAAACTCGGACGATGGAGGTGTCCTGGCGCCTGTCCTAAGATGCCCGTGATGAGGGGCCTCTTGGCTCCCCAAAACACCTTCCTGGATACCATCGCCACCCGCTTCGACGGCACCCGTGAGTTTGTCCCGTCCCGTCCCCCCCACTTTGTTTGAGGTCTTTGGTCCCCTCACCTGGTTGTCTACAATGTCGAAATAACAACAATGCAGTTTGACACCACTTCGGCATGGCATGACTGGATGCTCTGGAAGCCTGGGAGCTGGAGCTTTGCAACCTTGCCTTCTCTGCCAAAGAGTTCTGGTGCCTCAGCAAACTGCAACTCCCAGGGTCCCATAGCATTGAACCAGGTGGTGTCAAGCTGCATTAACGCTGCAGTGGAGATGCTCCTGTTGGCTTTTTCTTTTGGTCGTGTCAGGAAAACTGCAAGTAGCTTCTGGTGTGAGAGAATTTGCCATCTGCAAGGAAGGAGTTGCTCAGGGGATGCCTCAATATTTTGATGTGTTATCATCCTTGTGGGAGGCTTCTCTCGTGTCCCCACATGAGGAGCTGGAGCTGATAGAGGGAGCTCACCTGCACTCTCCCCAGATTCGAACCTATGACCTGTCGGTCTTCAGTCCTGCCTGTCGGTCTTCAGCACTGCGCCACTGGGGGCTCCTCCCGCTGGCTGATGGAAACAGAGAAAAGGGGGCTTAACAGGCTGGAGGTGTGTTTCAGGTGCAGTGCAGGGGTTACAGGTTAAGACGTAGGGTCCAATTCAAGACCGGCTCTCTACTGCATGGCCCACCAGGTGTGTGGAGGTGTGGAAAGCCTATCCTGGAATCCCCACATTCTGTTGCCCTCGCAAAGCATGACATAACGTGTGGAATGATGTAGTGCAATGGGTTAAACCCTTGTGCTGGAATCCGGGGAGAGCGGGTTGAGCTCCCTCTGTCAGCTCTAGCTCCCCATGCAGGGACATGAGAGATGCCTCCCACAAGGATGGTAAAACATCTGGGTGTCCCCTGGGCAACGTCCTTGCAGACGACCAATTCTCTCACACCAGAAGCAACTTGCGGTTTCTCAAGCCACTCCTGACATGAAAAAAAAAACTATAGTGAGAAATGTATTGTCTTCATGTATTGTCAAAGGCTTTCATGGCTGGAATCACTAGGTTCTTGTGGGTTTTTTTCGGGCTATCGGGCCATGTTCTAGAGGCATTTCTCCTGACGTTTCGCCTGCATCTATGGCAAGCAATCCTCAGAGGTAGTGAGGTCTGTTGGAATTAGGACAATGGGTTTATATATCTGTGGAATGGCTGGGGTGGGGCAAAGAGCTCTTCTCTGCTGGAGCTAGGTGTGAATGTTTCAACTGACCACCTTCATTAGCATTTGAAGGCCTGGTTGAGCCTGGGAAAATCTTTTGTTGAGAGGTGTTAAGATGTGCCTGGTTGTTTCCTCTCTGCTGTTTTGCTGTTGTAATTTTAGAGTTTTTTTAATACTGGTAGCCAGATTTTGTTCATTTTCATGGTCTCTTCCTTTCTGTTGAAATTGTCCACATGCTTGTGGATTTCAATGGCTTCTCTGTGTAGTCTGACTTGGTGGTTGTTGGTGTGGTCCAGCATTTCTGTGTTCTCAAATAATGTATTGTCTTGTCAAAGACCTCACAACCTCTGAGGATGCTTGCCATAGATGCAGGTGAAAAGTCAGGAGAGAATGCTTCTAGAACATGGCCATATAGCCCGAAAAACCTACAACAACCCTATCGTAAGAAAGCAAATGGTTCAAGTTCTGCTGCTGAAGCTAAGGTGGCCTTATAGGGCACATTACCTGGGAACTCTATAAGCTGCACTGAGCTGCAATTAAATCACCATAATTTTTAAACATATAAATAATTTTAAGCTCTTTATTATGCAATCTTACGGCTTTCTGTCCATACACGCCTGAGCTGCATGAGGTTTTTGGGCAAGCTCTGCGTTCATTCAATGGAAATCCTTAATCTTAGGGCACAGGTGGAGATTGTGTGGCGTTCCTGACCATGTTGGACTCTCATGCCCAGCATTAGCCTTGCGGGCTCAGGGGAATGGGAGGTCAAGTCCAACAACATCTGGGGATCTGCATGTTTCCTCTCCCAGGTGTTGACTGTCCACGCTGTATAGAACAAGACTTTTACTTTTTGAGTATTTCTTCATAAAGGTTTGCTCTGTGTATATCTTGAGGAGGCTGACATTCTTCAGGGAATTTCACTAGTATTTACACTATATAAGAAAAATTTGGAAAAAAAATCTGTTTCTACTTTGAAAGTTTATTTCCTGTTTAATTGTGTGGCATTTACTTTGAAGGTAGTTGTTATGCTTCAGAAACTTCGTTTTTGTGGCTGGCATGAACTAGGTTGAATTGGTTGTAACTCTATGAGATATTCCTCGAAAAATTATAGCATGTGCTGCAGGATGTCCTGCAAAAAACAAAGTTTGTGCAGTTTAATAAACCTTTTCCATATTTTCATGATAGTACCAATTAGGAAATGATATTTATAACCCAGGAACAAAAATCGTGTTACATAGTATTACAATAACCACCTCTGCCCCATCTTTGTAGGTAAGGAGGGCTGTACTTGCCAGGTGAAATTACCTTTTGTGACAGCAGGCATAGCATCCCTCCACATATGTGCTGAGTGATCAGGTATGAGAAAGGGTGTCTCCAAAGCCATTGAGAGGCACCTTGAACTTTGCATCTAGAACATCTTAAGATTGCACACTGAAATAACATGCAACCCCCCCCCCCCCCCCCCCCCCCCCCGTCTCTTTCCTGTTCTACCAATATATCTTTGTTGCATGTGTATGCAATGGATAGGAGTTTGCAATTGTGTGTTTTCAGGGACACCAAGTTGGACCATAGCCACCAGCCAAGCCTACATTTCAGAGTCCCGCTTTTGTGGTTCTTGTGATGTGTCATATTTACCTTGGATATATTGAATGTACTTCAAATGTCTAAATGTGACAAAGATGTGCTATTTCTCCTTCCAAACTATAAGCATAATGTGTGAAATGGGTAACTGGATGAAAGACTTTTCTGTAGGACAAGGATTTGGAAAGGCAGAGGCATCAGATGATTTCTTGTATGGAGTTGAGAGTGGGTTGTTATCTGGAGCAAAAGTAATTTAGTTAGCTTTATGATGTTGATTACAATTGTCCACCAAGTTGTTCAGGATGGCAAAGACAGCTCTTTATCTCACAACTACCTCATGAAGCAAGCACCTCAAAGGATGCAGAAACAGTGTTTTATATGTTGGCCCAAAGATCACCCAGATGCTGTTTTCAAAAAGTTATGGGGAAACCCTGGCTTTGTTAGGACTGGGCTGTGGTGCAGCTAGTTAGTAGCCAGCTGCATTAAATCACTACTGATCAAGAGGTCATAAGTTCGAAGCCAGCCTGGGTTGGAGTGAGCTCCCGACCATTAATAGTCAAACTTGCTGTTGACCTATGCAGCCCAAAAGACAGTTGCATCTGTCAAGTAGGAAATTTAGGTACCGTTTTATGCGGGGAGGCTAATTTAACTTATTTACGACACCATAAAATCTTCAGCAGCATGTGTAAGAATAAGGAAGTACTCCATCAAGGACTCGGTGTCACAAGATGACAGTGAAGTGGCAGCTCTCCCTGTGGCCAGAATCAAGCATATCCTCATGAAGCCGAAAAGTTGGACTGTTAAATTGTCTCTGTGTATGTCTATATATGTTGTATGTCTATAGCATTAATGTATTGTCGAAGGCTTTCATGGCCGGAATCACTGGTTCGTTTTAGGTTTCTTTTCGGGCTATATGGCCATGTTCTAGAGGCATTTCTCCTGACATTTTCCCTGCATCTATGGCAAGCATCCTCAGAGGTGAGGTCTGTTGGTACTGGCAAACAGACCTCACCTCTGAGGATGCTTGCCATAGATGCAGGCGAAACCTCAGGAGAAATGCCTCTAGAACATGGCCATATAGCCCGAAAAGACCCACAAGAACTCTATAGCATTAAATGTTTGCCATGTATATGTGCATTGTAATCCATCTTGAGCCTGCTGCGGGGTGAGAAAGGTGGAATATAAATACTATAAATAAATAAATAAAACTGGGAATCTTTGGATTTCAGTGAGGTTTCCCCTAGTCTCCCACTCCTCATAATTTGAGCATCTGTGAGTCACATTACCACTTTAGAAAGACTCACTTTCACCACCCTGTAGTTGGACTGGCTTTGTTTTGAAGCTTGAATCAGGATGGGATGACAGACCTTTTGAATATACTCAGCATTTGTCATAGCTCATGCCTTCAAACATTCAAAGGTTGACTCAGGCAACCTGGTACTTTCCAAAGGATTTAGAGTACAACTCCATTAATTGAGTTCACAGGAATTACAGACCCAAACCTATCCTAGAAGATGCTCACACAGTGTTTCATAAGTCAGTCTTCATTAACATGCTTCCTCTTAAATGCTTTGGACTTCTGTAATTACTCAGTTTTGTCCATACAGTCCAAATCTTTTGGAAGGCAACAGGCTAGGAAAGGCATAAAGAATAACATCCTAAACAGGGTATGCACATTCCTTTCTCACCATTGGTTATGCTAGGTGGGGCTGATGAGAGTTGTCCAGATCATTGGGAAAGCATCAAGATAATCCGTCATTTAGAATATGTCCTGTCCACATTAGCAGGACTGATGGGAGTGGTGGTCCAAATAGTTTAGAAGGTACCAGGCTGAGAGAAAGCATTCAGAATAACATCTTTAGGCATCAGTAGTGTTCCAGATGAAGTTGAACTCCAATTCCCACCAGCTTTTCCAGCATGTGCTATCATGAAAGATAACAAATACAGTCATTCATCTGATGTCATATGCACACAAATGGCTCACAACAAGAACAGCTCTACTGTTTTATTGGCTTTGGTTCAAACCTCGTTGGTAGAAGGTGGGATAAGGTAGTGGGGGAACCTTTCCCCATCATATGCTCCTCTCCTAGTTTGTTTTCTAGGTCATCTGCTTCTCACATAAATGCTTCTTCTTTTCTCCCTGTAGGACAGTGTTTCTCAACCTGGGGGATGGAACCCCAGGGGGGGAGGGGGTTGGAAGGGGGGGTGTTAGAGGGGTTGCCAAAGACCATCGGA